GGGAGGAGGAGTCAGAGGGGGATGGGGACTGTGGCCTGACAGGACCACCCGCTCTGGTGGGCTCCTATGGCACCTCCCCTGAGGGTATCGGCGGCTACATCCATTCTCATCGGCCCCTGGGCCCTGGAGAGTTTGAGTCCTTCATTGACGTCTACGCCATCCGGAGTGCTGAGGGTGAGAGAGATCCTGGAAATATTAAGGGTGTTGGTGGTGGTGGGGGAGTTGGCCTTGGGGGACTGAGACCAGGGTGGTGGGAGAGAGGCTGGTTAGCTTTTCAAAACAGATCTGACTGGTTCTTGGGGAGAGGGAATTGGGACTGTACTTGCTCTTCATTGCTGGTTTCTTTCCCCAGGGGCCCCCCAGAAGGAGGTGTATTTCATGGGTCTCATCGACATCCTGACACAGTATGATGCCAAGAAGAAAGCAGCTCATGCAGCCAAAACTGTCAAGCATGGGGTAAGGGTTCCGCAAAGCCTTTCCTTTCCTATCTTTTGACTCTTTGGGAACAGGGGGCCATTTGTGCCAGAGAAATGGGGTGGCAAAAGGACAAAGGGTTGGGGATGGAAGTGGTGTGGAGTGGAATGGAGGGTGGAGAGTGGGAAGGGTGGGGCGGTGGCCTGACACTGTGTTCCATACTTCCTCTCACAGGCTGGGGCAGAGATCTCTACTGTCCATCCTGAGCAGTATGCTAAGCGATTCCTGGATTTTATTACCAACATCTTTGCCTAAGAGACTGCCTGACTCCATGCTGACTGCTGCTTTATCTTCAAGGTGGCAGGGTTCTGAGAGGCTTGGGATTGTGGATATGCTGATCACTACTTCTTCTTTTCCTCCTTTGTTAAATTCCAGCTGCAGGCTCCTTGTATCCAGATAACTCCATCTTGTTGAGTAGGCTCTTCCTGACCCTCAGAAATACACTATCCTATCTCCCCCTGTCCAGTTTTCTTCCTTTTCTCCCTCCCCTCCAACCATTCTGCTTGCTTCATTAGAGTGTTACTGTTGACTCACTCCCAAGTGCCTTGATCTTTGTAAATGTCCTGTTGTTCTGTTGTTTCTAGATCATAGGAGGAGATGGGGGAAGGGGGTTACTTGCCAACTTCAGGACCTGACTGGACAGATGGACCTGGCTCAAGCAACTACTCTGGATGCACTTTGCTGTGTGGGATGAACTAAGAGTGTCTGAATT